TGAAATCATTAAATTAGGTGAGAAAAGCAAATTAATGATAGAATTGCCTGTAAAACTTTCTTCCATTATTTTTACACAGTTAGGAAATTGCACAAACCTCTGTTTCACCCTTGCTTCCAGACCCACAGTCTCCATCCAGCTTCTTCTTTAAATCTGGTAGAGGAACAGAAATAAATTTCACCACTATGAAAAAGAAATATCCTCAAACCAATTGCATTAATCCCCAGGCACATGATAGAAACCCACAACTAACAGGTAAAATGTGTTCATTTTAAAAATGGTTTTACTGGGTAAGGATATAGCCTGAAAAGGTGGGTTTTTTAAAATATTTTTTATTATAATTACTTTTATACATGATATTAGGACAAAGAAAAATGACAGATATTTACTAAGCTATTTAACTACTCTGTGCAGGTGGTTATAGCACAAAAATGAACAACTGCAGTTCTAATGCTTTAGAAATTGTAAGTGGCATTTGCTTTTATTTCTGTGAAATGTGAAACCCTCTCCCTATGGAACCAGCAGCCATTACCAGTCAGGAACTCCTGGACCAGCTCAACAGCTGATTCACTCTGCAGAGGTTCAGGCCACTCAGTCACACCCGTCCTCAAACCTTCAGCCAAAGCCTAAAGGCAGAACAAGAATTAAAACAACAAATCAGCTCTTCTGGGAGGTTCTGCACAAGTCACACTTCAAAATGTAGGTAACTTTGCCAAGACTCATCAGTCTCTGCACAGAGAACCAGGAATTAAAAACTTCCAGAATTTCTGGACTTGTTGTCCTCTTTGTGTTCAAAACTAAAAGTGAACTCAAAGTTTAATTTAAAATAAAAGCTTAGAGTTATCATTGAAGCATGTGATGAAGCGTTAAACCAAGTAAGTAATTAACACATAAAATCCCTATTTCATGTAGGCCTGAAATGGGAATTCCTCCCTGGTACTCACCAGGAGAAGCTGCAGCTCCCGATACACCTGGTACACGGGACTCCTGGGATCCCCAGGCTCCAGGGCAATGTTCTGCAAGTTCCACAAGTTTCACTCAGTTCACAGTTTAGATGATGAACTAATCTAAAGGTTTGTTGTCATATTTTCTGTCCTTTACACTGCTCATGATGTAAGCTGTGCAAAGAGCTTGGGTTTGGTTGCTTTTCCCAGCTGGACTTACCAGAGTGGCAGCTGAAATCAGTGGGGGAGTCTCCAGGATCTTATCAACAATATTCCATGTAATGTCAACACAGATATTGCTTCCAGACTCCACGATGGTGTCCTCTACTGAAGCAACTTGGATCAGTTCATACCGAGCAAACCCTTTTGTTGTCACCTGAGAAGGAACAGATTTAAAAATCAACACAACGCAACCACCACAGCATTGATTGGTTTGGGTGCAGGCAAAGCCACTTTAAAAGCGCTTCACAAATACACAAAAAAGGATTAATATCAGATAAATGCATCACAAATGTCACCTCAGCACAGACTCTTGTATTACAGAATCATACAGAGCTTCTCTGTAGAATCTACAAAGCTTCTCCAAACCAGCACCATAAATCCCACAACAAGAGTTTTTAAACTGAAATTGTAGCCGTGACAGGGTGTAAAAACCTACAACACATGAGTGATGTCTTCTTTTATGTTCCATTTTGAGCTCCTCCAGGTTTGCAAAACAGGTTTTATCAGCTGTAGGACCTAGGAAAGGAAAAAAAAAAAGTGAGAATCAAAAAAACCCCACTTGACACAACTCAAATATGACACTTCAAATTCATTCTCAAATGCTTTGGTCAAGAATGACTCCTGATATCCTTTAGAAAACAGGGATTCTCCTTGCATTTGTCCTGTTGATAGGAACTGGTGTGAATACAGAAGGGTTTAGTGAGTCAGTGGTTGTGTAAGAAGCTGATCAGGAGCAGTTTAAATGTGCTGTTATTGCACCAGACAGGTCTGACAGATACAGCTGCACTGATTCTATTAAAAAGCAATTTTCCCCACACAGCACTGGTTAAAACCATCTTTTCTCTCCTTTTGTTTTTTAAAACCAGGAATATAGAGTGTTCCCAAGCCAACATCACTCACAAAGAGCAAAGACAGCGCCGTCACATCAGAAATCCCACATTTTTAAGCCTTGCTCATTTAATTTCACGTGCAAAGTAAAAGCTTACCCTCACATGACACCACGTAAATGTTGAGCCCTGTGATTTTCTGTCCAGCTCGGAGAGGCTCAGCTCCAACCCAGCAGGTGTGCTCAGGATCAGAGCCATCACACCTGATCCAGAGGGGAGGGAGCACCACCAGGTCACTCAGCCCCAGGTGGGTCACACTTGGATTTTGCACCATGGCATACAAGGAAAGCAACTGCCTACAAATGGGAAGAGCAGGAAAATCAGATGCCAGCAAATATCCCAGATCTGTCCCTTAGTAAAACTTGACTCCCCTCTATTGTGCTTTGTGAGCAGACTCAAATCATTTTACAACAAGAATGCAAGATTATAACCCTCTTTTTAAAGGGTTAATAAGTCAATAAAGTCACAAAGGAAGAAGTCTAAGACATCACACTTCAAAATATAATCAATATATTAATTTAGACTGGAGAATCTAAAATCATATTCAATTTTACATCTTAAAGATATTAATCAGGTCTTTGGTGTTATTAAAATACCAAGGCACGGTACCATTTTGGTACCGTGCCTTGGTATTTTAATAACACCAAAGACCCCAAATCAGATTTTTAAGCTTTTTTTAACAGAACCTTTAGTAAAAAAAAAAAAGCACTGAAGTCTTGGGAAGCTTTTTTTGGTCTCCTACACCCAGCGAATCCCATGAACCCAATGGCACAGCTCACAAGTGCTTTTCCAGTACCTTGATTTGAGCTGCTTTGTTAAAAACTTTTAACTAGAGAAGAGAACTTTTCAGGATGGAAAATGGTAAAATCTCCTCATAAATTAGTGAGTGATTTTATTTTGGGGATTGAAAACAACAGAGTTTCTGAATATTGGGAAGAGGGACAAAAGCTGCAAAAGAAAACTACATCAAGAGGGCAGGGAAACCTTTGAGACTTACTTTGCTCTTCCCACAGGAAGAGCTGCTGGTCCAGGACTCTCCTTTGGCAAAAGCTCCGAGTAAGAAAGAGCTTCATCTGCTTTTGATTCTTCCATTGAGTCACTTTCTTCATTCTGTATCTAGAAATGTGCAGGCAGATCAAAAACTGCAAAGTGTGTGCAAATATTTGATGGGAATTCAAAAGCCTGGATGACATTTAACAAAAATTAACAACTGACACACAAACTTACTGCTTTCTGCAAAATATACATTGGGCTGCCCCCACTCCAGAATCTTTCCACGGGACTTTTGCAACTGCCATTGACCAAATAGATCTCCACATCAGCCTGGAAAAATCATAATTAAAACTTTTTTATATACTACACAGGAATGCTGCATTCCAGCAATTTGTTTACACCAGAAATTGCAAAATTAACTAATTCCACCGCCTGTTTTCCAACAGTGTCGCATCCATTCAAGAATCCCAGTCTTTTTTAACCTGAGGAGAATGCAGGTACTGCACGCCATGGGTGGAATCAAATCAACTGTGAAAACGCAACAAATTTCAACTAATCATAGAAAATCTAAATTCCAACAAGCTGATTCTAGGAGATTTTGGTTCTATGAACAAAACCTCAGAGAATCTGAACTGTGAGGGAACGCTGAAGCATCAACTGCTGTCACCAGATATCCCTGAGATGGAGGATACTCCTTTAGAGTAACATTAAATATCAACCAGTTGCTTCTTTGAATGTCTCATGAGAGCTCTAAACACTGTTTGGAGACATTAAAAAAATTACTTCTGCCTCAAGAATGAAGGAATATCAATTTTTACTTAAGCTTCCCCATACAGAGAAGCATTGCTTGATTCTTTATATCTAGTCTGCTCTTTTATATTACTATATATTTAATTAACCACCTGATTTTATTTTCCAACTATTATCAAAGTTACAAAAAACCCAAGATTAACACAACGATTACAACAAGCATTCTATGATTTTACCTCGTAGAGATACGGATGTTCAGGGATACTCTCCCTTCCCTCTTCGTATATTCTGAAAGAGAACATTGACTTAGATGACGTTTTCCCCTCAGCATTCCTAATTAAACAGCAAATTACCCTCCCACACTCAACACCACCACAGCCAGCGGCTCCGCCGGGGCCACAGAGCCCTGAGGGCGGAGACCCCCGGGAATGACCCCGATCCCCACGGGAACAGGAGCCCGAACAGCCCCGGGAACGACCCCGATCCCCACGGGAACAGGAGCCCGAAAAGCCCCGGGAACGACCCAGATCCCCACGGGAACAGGAGCCCGAACAGCCCCGGGAGTAGCTCTGGAATAGCCCCGATCCCCACGGGAACAGGAGCCCGAAAAGCCCCGGGAACGACCCAGATCCCTACTGGAGCAGGAGCCCGCCCAGCCCCAGGAACGATCCCGGTAATGATCCTGTTCCCACAGCCACAGGAGCCCGCCCGGCCCCGGGAACGATCCCGGTAATGATCCCGTTCCCACCGCCGCAGGAGCCCGCCCAGCTCCGGGAATAGCCCCGTTCCCACCGCCGCAGGAGCCCGCCCAGCCCCGGGAATAGCCCCGGGAATAGCCCCGTTCCCACCGCCGCAGGAGCCCGCCCAGCGCGCCCCCCGCCCGCCGCCTCCGCTCCGCCATCGCCGCCACAACCGAGCGTCCCGCGCGCCGCAGCTACTGGAGCGCTCTGAGGGGAGGGCGAAGCGCCACGCCGGATCCCTCCGCCAGAAAAGAGTCCCCCGCTTTGGAAGGGGGCAGAGAAGGACAGAGGCGGCCGGAGGGCTCGGGCGGGCACCGAGAGACGCGGCGGGGCCGGAGAGACCGGGGGCTGCCCGGGATCCCGGCTGGGGTTGGGGCTGGGTCGGGAATCGACCGGCGGGCGCGGCAGGAGCGGCGCGCCTGCCGCGGAGGGACATAGGTGATAAGTACAGGAGGGTGAGGCGCCCTTCCTTTTCCGGGCGGGGCGCGGCGTGGACGGGCGGCCACGATCGGCTCGGGCAGCGCCGCCATGGTGAGGGATTGCCGGGCAGCGGCAGCCGAGCCGGCACCGGGCAGCGCGGGGGGCCGGGGGAGCCGGAGCGGCAGCGGGGCTGGGCCGGGGGAGCCGGGCCCGGCGGGCAGGGCCGCGCCGCGGGCAGCGCTCGGGCCGCGCTGGCGGCGTGGGGAGCGCGGCCGCCATTTTGGCTCCGTCAGCGGCCTCGTGGGGACCGGGAGGGACCGGGCCGGGCCAGAGCTCGGCGTGGGGGCCCAAAATCCCCCGTTCTTAGGGCACAGCGGGGTTTGGGCCCCATCGCCACCTGGCAGGGCGTTACATCACATATTACTCTAAAGCAAAACAGGCCCCACGGGAGCGTTTGGGCCCACGTAGAGTGAAAACGAACGGCTTCTCTAAACTCCCTATTTCTGTTTTCTTAACCTTTTCTAACTTACTTTGTTGCGAAACAGGCTTTAGGAGGCCTTGGTCTGGAAGCAGTTTGCAGATGAACAGCTTTTCCTGCCAGTAACAGCTCAGGTTGTGCTCTGGTCCCTTCACCCCACTCGGGTTTGCTGCTCGTGTGGGGCTCTGCACCCACGGCAGGGCCAGAGCCACATGCACAGACAGCACTTCCATCGCCACGAGCTGCTTAATTTGGAGGGGTTTAGTTTTTTTAATACCTCCAAAACGAATTTTGGATGGGAAAGAAAAGGAATAATACAGTATAATGCTAAAAGATTCTTTTTAAAGGGTGCTGTTCACGCTGGCAAACTATTTTTGGGAGCATCCTCTCAGCCTGTTTTTCAGGCAGCTGGTGCTGAGGGCAGTTTAAACCCTCACCTTGCAGACTTTTAAACACCAGGAATTTTCAGGGAGCCCAGACTTAAGAAAAAACTCATTCTGATCGTTTTATAGCCTGCAATCATTATGAGTGTGTGAATTGTATTGGAGAAGTTGGTTACAGTGTTTCAGCTGTTGAACATAATCTAAATAACGTTAATAAATGAGTTATCTAAATAAGTATTTATCTAAATAAACAGACACTGCTTTTCCATGGGCTTTTTAACAGCAGGTTAAGTAGTTTGAAAGGTGTTAAAGAGTGCACAGATTCAGTCCTAGAGTGATTCTGCCGAAATTCCTTGGAAGTCTATTAAATTTGAAACCTAAATAATACTAATATTCATAAATGAATTATCTAAGTAAGAGTTTATCTGAACAAACAGAGGTGGGTTGTCCATGGGCTTTTTAGCAGCAGGTGGAAACAGTTCAGAGGAGTTAAGGTGGTGTTTATGAAAGAGTGCAGAGATTCAATCCTAGAGTAATTCTGCCTGAATTCATTGGAAATCCGTGAAATTTGAAAGCTAAATAGTGCTAATATTAATAAAATATCCAAGTAACCACATGTGGGTTTTCCCTGGGCTTTTTAACAGCGGGTGGGAAGTAGCTTAGAAGATGTTAATCAGAGAGTGCCAGAGATGCAATGGTGGAGTGGTTCTGCCCAAATTCCCTGGAAATCTCTTGAATTTGAAAGCTGGGGTGTAGTTTGTGGCTGTGGATTGTGCTGTGGAGTTTCCCACTCCCACGTGGAGCGGGAGCATTGCTGTGATGACGTAATTTGCGTCCTACCCCGTGCTCAGTGACAGTTGCCTGCTGTCGATGCGCTGGCACTGCGGGGTGACGACTCCTGAGTTCTGAGCAATATCCAGTCCCTGGCGAGCCGGGAATTCAGGAATTGCCCGTCCCCGTGCTGAGAGTTCCCCCTCCCCAGGCTTGTGCTCGGCCGCTGATCTCGGTGTACTCGGAGAAGGGGGAGGCCTCGGGGAAGAACGTGACCCTCCCCGCCGTGTTCAAGGCGCCGATCCGGCCCGACGTGGTGAACTTCGTGCACACCAACCTGCGCAAGAACAACCGGCAGCCCTATGCCGTCAGCGAGCTCGCAGGTACCCGGCACCGCCACGGCTCCCTGCAGCACTCCGGGGATTCCTCACCCCTGGGAGCTGCTGCCTCACCGGCTCAGCCATGGGTTGTACTTTAATAGACAAATTTGGGGTCTTCAGTACCTGGAGATGGCGGCAAGGGAAGCAGCCACGGGCTCGTTCCCAAGGGATTTCTGTATTCATTTAGGGTGTCCTGTGTGGCTCCTGGGGGATATGATGCCACCCCACCTCGGTGAAGTTGAATCCACCACAGGGAGGTTCTGAGCCAGTAATAATTGATCTGGTGTCTAACACCTGGGAACTGGAATTAGAGAAGCACTTTTAGTGGGATTCTGATTATTAACATTGTTGTTATCTCAGTTTTAAATTGTGTGATGATAAAGCCCAAGTTGGAGCAGAGGGGCAGCTCTTTCTCAGGCCTGGTGTTCAAAGCACCATTAAGATTTCCTTTGTTAAGTCTGGTGTTCTCGACCTTGGAATAAATTTTCCTGAAATCCTTTCACTGCCTGGCATTTCTAAGGTTCTCAACCCACTAGGAACAGTAGTGCCAAGTTAAACCTCCAAATGGAGGATCAAACTAAAAGATGAGTGTGTTACACATCTTAAATCAGCAGCAAGTATATTAATATACTGAGAATAAGCTTATCTGATCCAGGCTGTTGTGCTGAAATGATGAGGTTCCACTTCATTGGTCCGTGTTTCTGAACCACATGATTGTGTGGAAGTTCTGATTGGTGCCTGGAGCTGAGCAGCCCCCTGCCTCTGGGAGGGTCAGTGCTGTCACTGAATGCCCCTGTGTGTGTTGCAGGTCACCAGACCAGTGCCGAGTCCTGGGGTACCGGCAGGGCCGTCGCTCGCATCCCCCGCGTCCGAGGGGGTGGCACTCACCGCTCCGGCCAGGGGGCCTTTGGGAATGTATCCTTCTGTGGCTGTGCTTCCAGCAGGGGCACTGAGCTCAGCCAGCTGAAAAGTTATTCCTGAGTCTCTAAAAGTGAACTGGGATCCTCCAGGGGTTCCCTCTTCACCTCCTGAACCACCTGATCCGTCCTGTCTTGCCGTGATGTCGTAATTTGCGTCTTACTCTGTGCTCAGGGACAGTTGCCTGCTGTCAGAGTCCTGGCACAGGTGGCTGACGACCCACTAACACTGAGCAAGCACTAAAGAGTCACTTTGGGAAGAGACTGTTCCAAAGAGTTGTCCTTAACTCCACGTCAGATGTGCCGAGGCGGCCGCATGTTCGCTCCCACCAAGACCTGGCGGCGCTGGCACCGCAGAGTGAACATCACGCAGAAGCGGTATGCCATCTGCTCTGCCCTGGCTGCATCTGCCCTGCCAGCTCTGGTCATGTCCAAAGGTGGGAATTCTGTCTCTGGGAATGTTTGCCTGAGCCAGCGTTGGGTACTGTGTGGTGACTCCAGAGGAGTTTTGCACTGCATGGCAGTGCCGTTGGCTTTCTGTGCATGGGAGCAAAGGTTTGCTTAATGCTCAGGTACAGCAAGTCCTGTCTGGGACAGACCTGTGGGACTCCACTGCAGCTTCAGTGCTGTGGTTGCTGTGCCTGAATATTAATTCAGTCATTTCATTGAACAGCAGTGCCAAGTTGCACCTCCAAATGGAGCATCAAGCTTAGAAATGATTATGTTAAACATCTTAGGTCAGAATCAAGTACATTAATATACTAGGAATAAATTTCCCTTAACAATAACCAAGATTTGTTTTGCTGAAATGATGAGATTCCACTTCATTGGTCCGTGTTTCTGAACCACATGATTGTGTGGAAGTTCTGATTGGTGCCTGGAGTTGAGCATCTCTGACTTTGGGGGGGATCACAGTGTTGTCACTCTCTGAATGACCCTCTTTCTGTTCCAGGCCACCAGACCAGTGCTGAATGAAAAATTTAATTTCCAGTTTATTGTGTTGTATCATTTGTGAATTCACAAGGCAATGACTTTCACACATGGGTCCAGCCAAGGTCAGTGGTAACACGATCTCTTGTTAGGTCACCGCATCGAGGAGATCCCAGAACTCCCTCTCGTTGTTGAGGACAAAGTGGAGGGTTACAAGAAAACCAAGGAAGCCGTTCTGCTCCTTAAGAAGCTTAAAGCTTGGAATGACATCAAAAAGGTGAGTTGGTCAGCTGTGTTTCCAAGAGCAGGTGATGCAGCCCTACAGAGGGAATTCCAAATAGTTGTGTTCTGACCCTGAAGAGTGATGAACTCCTCACTGGTCCGTGTTGCAGATACACAGTGATGATGGTGACGTTCTGACTGAAGCAGTCTGGGGGTGGGGTGTGCCTGGTGGGATTTGGGCTGTCGGGTGCTCACAGGTGTCCCCCTTTGCCAGGTTTACGCCTCCCAGCGCATGAGGGCCGGGAAGGGCAAGATGAGGAACCGCCGGCGCATCCAGCGCAGGGGGCCCTGCATCATCTACAACGAGGACAACGGCATCATCAGGGCCTTCCGCAACATCCCAGGTACCTGTGGGACACACCTGCTCCTCTGGCAGGACACTGCCTGGAATGATGAGATTCCACTTCATTGGTCCGTGTTTCTGAACCGCATGACTGAGTGGAAGTTCTGACCCGCTGCAGTGGCTGGTAACGCTCTTTGTAACAACCTGTTCTGGTGGTATTGAGGGTGTTTGTGACAAATGTCACAGCTGTTCACCCTGAACTGCATTTGGGGCAATTAAACAGGAGCTTGTCAAGTTTGTACATGGAAAAACAGTGATTGCTATTAATTGAATAATAGATTTCTACACATAGGTGTGTGTGGCTCTATGGTGTCAAAGCCGAAAAGCCACAGTGTTTCTGCATCCTCCTTGATTTAATTACATATTAAAGGGATTTCTCTGCCTGGTTTGCTGCAGGAATTACTCTCCTGAACGTGAACAAGCTGAACCTGCTGCGACTCGCTCCCGGGGGCCACGTGGGGCGCTTCTGCATCTGGACAGAGAGCGCCTTCCGCAAGCTCGACGACCTGTACGGCACCTGGCGCAAGGCGGCCACGCTCAAGAGCGACTACAAGTGAGTGCAGCCCCTCACAGGCTGGGAGAGGGGAAAAGGGACACTGGGACTTCTTCTTGAGTGCCTGTTCTCAGGGAATCAGCCTTGGTTGTATCACCACTCACACTCGGAATGTTTGTTTCGCAGCCTGCCCATGCACAAGATGACCAATACAGATATCGGAAGAATCATGAGAAGCCAAGAAATCCAGAAGGCCCTGCGTGCTCCAAAGTAAGTGTTTTTGTCTAAGGAATGTGATGTGTGGTTTCTCTACTCATTGCCAAACACGAGGTCTTGTTGTGGGGTCAGAAATCTCTGTGCTGGGATTTCTTCATTTCTGGGTATAAACACCAGGAATTTAGGCTGCCCAAATTTCAGGGAGAACCTGTCAGAGCTGCCACTGCAAAATGAGGTGACACTCCATGTTTATGCTTTTCAGGAAGAAGATTCAGCGCAGGGTCCTGAAGAAGAACCCGCTGAAGAACCTGAGGATCATGATCAAGTTGAACCCCTATGCCAAGACCATGCGCCGCAACACCATCCTGCGGCACGCCCAGAACGTGAGCGAGGGGGCAGCGGCACGGGCACGCCTGGGGTGGTGCTTCGGGTGTCACACTGATCATCTCTCTGTCCTTTGCAGCACAAACTCAAGGAAGAGAAGAAAGCCAAGGCCAAGGCCAAGCTGGCAGCGCAGGCCCCACCTGCACCCAAGGCAGAGCCTGCAGCCAAGAGGCCGAAGGCGGCCAAGCCCGCGGGCAAGGCCAAGGCTGATGCGTGAGCACCGCGGGGCTGCCCTGGGGCGTCCCCGGGGCTGGCAATTAATAAATGCAGTTGGAACAGAGAAATGGTGTCGGCTGTGGGTGTTGTGTGAGCAAGAGCTGAGAAGGAAACTCCTGAAGTGAGAGTGAAAAGGGCGGGCCCGTCGTGCCGGGCGCGGTGCGGGTGCCGTGAGCAGCAGCGGCCGCGCGGGGGCAGCACGGCCGCGGGGATGCGCGCGTGACGTCAGCGGGGCTGCGGTGCCTCCTCCCCCGCGCCGGGGGCGCTGCGGGCCCGGCCCGGGCGGGCGGGGCGGCGGGGCCCGCCATGCTGAGCCGGCTGCAGGAGCTGCGCAGGGAGGAGGAGACGCTGCTGCGGGTCAAGGCGGCGCTGCACGACCAGCTCCGCAGGCTGCGGGTGCGCGGGGATGGCAGGGGACGGCAGTGGGGGCCGGGAGCGGGATGGGAGCGGCGGGGCCGGGCCTCCCCCGCGGTGCGGGCCCGCTCTCCCCGCTCCGGGCCGGGAAGCAGCGGCACGATGGTCCCTGCGCAGGTTAGAGCGCGTTAAAGGACACCGGTGAATGCCCTCGGTGCGCCAGGTGAAAGTGGGATCCATCTGCTGCTGCTCCCGGGGATGCACTCACATTTACCCCCCAGGTGTACGGTACTCCAATAACTCCCTGTGGTATGTAGGGTGCATCTCCAGGGGTACAGGGGATTGTGAGTGCTTGTTGGATACAAGAGGTGAATGGAATCGCATGATTTGCGTTCTTGGTTGTTGCACAGAGAAGGGACAGTGAGCCTGAGGTAGCTGAACTAAAGACTAACCGGGTTTTGGGAATCCTGGGCGCGGTAATGAAGGAGCTTAGAACAGCAGGGCAGAAGGAAACAAAGCTTTTCCAAGACAGGTAAAAACCCCTACGAGTCTGAGCCAAAAACGTCGTGGAGTGTGAAATCCCCCGGGCTGGGGGCCGGGTTTGCACGTTCAGTGTTTCGGCAGAATCCAAGCGGGGCTCAGGGTTGTGCTGCTCCCTGTTCCCAGGTGGAGGAGCTGGCGCTGCAGTCCATGATCAGATCCAGCGAGGAGAACGTCCCTGTCCCCTCCTCAGGCCTCACAGGGGACACTCAGCAGGTGAGGGGGGTCGTGCCTGGGCCGGGGAGGGCTCGGCTGGCCCCAGGGGGGGTCTCAGCTATGGCTGGGGGGGTTCACGTTCCTCGTGTCAACTCGTCTGTCACTGCAAAGCTCAGCTGTAAAATGCCTGCTCTGGGGCTGGTTTGTGTTTCAAGGGGTTTGCCTTTTCCCATCCCCGTTTCCAGGGGGTTGGGAGGCACCACTTTGGTGTGGGTTCAGTTCACTGTTCATTAATGATGTCTGATGTGTGTAATGAACTGTGACACTGGGGTAGCCACTGATGGAGGCTCAGATTCCCTCTGAGCTTTGCACTAAATCCAGGGTCAGCCTGGACCAGCTGAACTCCTCCATGACCAAGCGCTCGTGGCTGGGAAGGGCTCTCAGCCAGCAGCTCTCAGAGCTCTGATTAACACTGGGACTGCACAGCCTTAGTGCTGATTTGAGAAGTGATCTGGGGTCTGATAACCAGCTCTTTTCTTGTGCCAGACTCTTGGGCAGATGGACAACGAGGCTGCCATCAACCAAACCGAGCTACACCTCAGCCTTCAGGGCCATCAGGAGGAGGAGGAGGAGGAAGAGGAGGAAGAATCCGATTCTTGAGAGGGGGGAAAAAAATCAGAGATGGTTTTTGATACAGACTCAGGAACTTCTTCTGCATTCATTTAAAACTCACCAGGTGATTTCCATGTTGTGCTGTGTGTGGATATGAACTGTGTGATCCATGAGGCAGAGTCTGGGGCAGTGACACCGAGCACTCAAATGTCACAGGCTGGGCACATCTTGACTCAGATGTTAAAAGAATGAAAGTCTGCTGCACAAATATGTAGCACAATCCATTCCACACTGAAAACCTAATGTAGCTTTTTACAGCATCCTTGGATGGGGAAGGGAGAGGTAATTAATCAGCCAGACTAATTTCACGTGGACACTGAAAGCAATAACTCGCCTGCTCTCACTTCCTGATGCTGACAAACACAACCAGGTGCTCCACCAGTGATTATGTTACAACCTCACCTGCCTAAACTGGGGATTTGAGATGAGTGGTGAGATAAGATGTGCCCAGGGTCGCTCCATGGAAAGCTGGAGTCACTCCCAGTGCCCTGGGAGTGCAGGTCCAGCACCACCAACCCAATGGTGAGGGCAGCACTGAGGTCCCTCTGTCCCCACTGGTGCTCTTCAGTACTGGCAGTCTGGCCAGGGAAGTTCTTTTTACTTCCTGCTCTTCAGAGTAGCAGCCAAGGAGCCTTTTATTTGTCCACAAATTGTACAGTACAAATTGGTGCTTGTATCAAGGAACTGATGCTCTTAAATTGGTGTTATTTACTTTTCCTCTCACGGTAACCTCATAAATCAGGGCAGTTCCACCTGCTTTCCTGGGATCTTCGAGGAGGAGTTTAAGAGCTTAGTTATAAATGGAAAGTGAAGTCTCCTCCACAATTTCTGTCCTGGGAGAAGGGTCTGGAATGCTGGCTGTGGGCAGAACACACCACTGAGCCTCCAGTGAGTTCCTGCCCCTGCTCAGTGAGAGATTGTTGATGTGGCTTTTATTTGGTGTGTGCCAATAGAAACCAAATGTTGGGATGTAAATGCAGCTTCATCCTGTACTAGACTAACTGGCTTTTGAGGATCCTCGGATGTCTGAAGGAGTGCAGAAGATTTAGCAAAGCTTTCCCAAGCCTGACTGGTAAAAACCCCAAAAGTCTGAGCTGAGAAAGTCACGGAGTGTCCAATAACTCCCTGCAGGTGTGTGGGAAGAGCTGGTTTGGGAGGAGCTCAGGGGCCAGCCTGGCCTTTCTTGGCACATCTCTGCTCCAAGGGGTGATTTGGACTGTGAGAAGTGTTATTTGTACCCAGCATGGTGCAGAGTAGTTTCCATGGATAGAATTCCTGATGCCTTTAGTGAACGAGCCCCCTGCTTGCTTTTGGGTTCTGACAGAGCAGTCCTGTTGCATGTTGCAATAAAGTTCTTTCCCTGCTGTCCTTCCATACACCTGTGCCTGCAGTGTCCAAATTATTGCTGTGTTGGGGGGGGAACATGTGAAGGGGGTGTTAAATCCCTAAAGATTTGCTGTTCCCACACTGCACATTTCATTTACCAAGCAGCCACAGGGTCCTCGTGGAGTTCTGTGTGTGATCCACGTGCAAAGCTGAGGGAAGGGTTTAATTTACACACTGCCCAGCTGTCACTGCTCCAACAGCCCCATTCCAGCCAGGACAAGCTGGGGGGACCTTGGATGTGTCAATGAGTCACTTCCTGCTCTGCTGGGCTGAGGGATGTTCTGTCCCTTTGATATTCAATACTGCTGGCCATGTGGAAGTTCATGTCCAGGCTGCTGGGGATTCCTTTGGGGAAAGAATTCCAGGCATTTCCTGATCAGGAGAACACTATGAAGTGTAGTGAGCAGATTAAAGCCTTGCTTAAGTTTTTTTTTTTTTTTGAGTCTTAAAAGAAAGCTTCAAGGAGTTACTTGATAATATATTTATTAAGAGAACCCATTGCTGAACATCTGAGAGAATAAAACAATAGAGGATCTTCATACATTTTAGACACTAAACACAGTTGTCATGAATCTTTAGGTTAAAAGAAAGCAAAGTGCTTGGATCATTGTCTTGATTCCATAGGACATTTCCAAGAACTAAACTTTTAAAAATCAATTAGAAAGACAAACATCACTAAACCCAAGGAGGATGATATGTTCGAAAAATAAATATAGAAATATGAACAAGTCTACAATTAGGATAATTGCCCTGTACATTCCAAGAAATGCAGAGCTCTTGCCTTCTTCACCTGGAAAGAGAGAGATCTCTGAACAAGAGCACAATTGGAACCCTCAGGCCTAACTTTCAGGTACAGCTGGGCAGCAGCAAAGCTCGACAGACAAGTTTGGGAGCATCCCTATCCCGTTCTGCAGGGGGAGACCAGGGAAAGCATGATTGAAGTACCAACGATTTACAAAGAGTCTGGAGAGAGTTCAAACGAGCTGGGGGGGCAAACCCCCTCCCCCAGTGCTAGTTTCATCAAGAAAGAATATCCATAATCACCTAAAATCAGCAAGCACTGAACTCACACAGCTCACGTTTTGGGCAGTGAACGAACGGGACCCGAAACGATACCAATTAGTTTAGGACGAAGTTGAAAACCATTTTGGCACATGCTATCGAGACATTCTTCCTTAAGAGGTGAAATACATGTTTGAACAGGTACAAGCTGAGGGGGTGGGACTGGAGCAGCATCTCTGTGCCCAGGGGACAGCCCAGGAGCTGCTGCCCCAGCTCAGACTCCAGCGGCGTGCGTGGGGGTGCTGGGCTGGTTAAGGCCGATGGTGGAGCAAAGCCACCCCGCAAAATCCACCTCCTCTGCTTCAGACCTCTTAATGAAAGCGTGGATCTGAGCACAGGAGAACAGCAGGTTAGTCAGGCACTCGGTCTGCTCAATAACAACCCCACAAAACACAAGAAACCCAAGCAATCCACTTGCAGGAGTCAAGCTAAGCGATAAAACCCAGCGGGGTCACGTGGAGTGACAGGAGAGCTTTTCTGGAGGACACAGGAACAACCAGCACGTGGCAAAGTATTCCAGAGGAGTATCCATCCTTAACTATCCTCCTGCAATCCTTTTCTGCAGGATACAGAAACAAGCAGCACACGAAACGTGCACATGGCAAAGCATTGCAGAGGAATCCTGCCCACACAGAGCCTGCTGCAGAGCACTCACACCACTCGGTGTGGTAAGGATGTGACTCAGCCACTCGAGATAATACCCTGGAAAATGCCTGCCTGTGCTCTGAGAGGCTTTTTGGAACAGAGGCTCTTTGCATTTTGCACCACGGGGCAGGGAGAAGTTGATTTTCTGCAGCACAGCTCAAGTCCTGGCACTGCACTTAAAACCATGAAAAAGATTCACTGACACTCGTGAAAAAATGCAGGGTTTGTTTGTGACTGATTCTACAGATTTTGCAAGACAAAGCTGGCAAAAAGAAGTTTTGTGTTTCATAACAGACCATAAAAATGCATTTAACTATTAATACACTATGAGGAATTTTGTTCTTTTGTCACCCTAAAAGTAATAATTTAAATACTTTATTAATGACTGATAAATCCAAGAGAGGACTCTTCTGATAATTGATTTATAAGCACTAAGTCATAAGACTAATTGTGATTATCCAAAAGGCAGACTCCAAACCCCCCCTGTTTTGGTCTCCTTGACTCTCCCTGTTCTGGGAGTGTGTGGAACCTGCAGCCCTGACCTGATGTGGGGCAGCTGAGGAAGCCCAACCTGCAGGGAAGGGGGTCTTAATTCCCATGAAGGACATGCACTCACCATCAGCTGCTTCAGGTCGGCTCTCTCAGCAGGGTTTTTAATTAAACTGGGAAAACACAAAGTGTTGCACAAGTTACACACTGTTACCTTTGAGAACAAACATTGTACCGTGCTGGGTGTGTTCTGCTCTGATAAAAGCCTTGTGGTGACTCCCAAACACACATCTGGGGCTGTGATTCCCTTCTGGGGGTCCCACAGGCACAGATTTAGGGGTGAAACCCTCAGTGGTGACACTGTTCAGTGGAGGCAGCAGGAGTGTCTACACCCAAGCTGGAGGGAGAAATCCCCATTTAAACAAAAACAACAGGAACCACTTCACTCCCCAGGTTTTTTGTGCTCAGCACCAGGTAGGGCTGTGGCATTGTTGTCCTTCCTTTTGGAAACTGGAAATACATGTATTTCATAAATAAACTACCTTTTCAGAGTGTAATGAGCTGCCTCCCTTAGCAGTGACTATCCTGGCTCAGTGCTGGTGTCACTGGAAAGGTGAATTAGAGTGGTTGCTGGGACACACTGGGAAAGAAAAGCACCTGGAACCTGCAAGATTCCTGCATGCCATGGCACAGCCCCTGCAGGATGAGTGCCAGTTACCCCCACAGTGAGGACCCTTTTTAGGGGCTGAGGGGGGGCCTTCAGTGCTGACCAAGTGCTGATCTCAGGTGCACAGAGCAGCACAAGTTCAGTGGGAAAGAAGGGAACAGCTCTCAGCTTTGGGGTTCCCTGTGCTGTCAAGCTGTAAAATGAGCTTTGGGCACAAATTAACACCCCCAAGAGGACTGTGCTAATTGCAGTGACTTCACATTTGCCACGGCCTAGAGCAGGGACATCGATTGCCAGGGGGCTGATTCAGAAGGGCAGCAGGGCTGACCCCCAGGGTGCCCCTTTGCCACCCAGCCAGAGAGGAAAATACTCACCATTTGTTAACAAAATCTTGAAATTCAGAACCAAAAACACCGTTGGGCAGTTTTGGAGGTGGCTGTGGATGAATAAATAAATAAATAAGTAAATACATGTTTAAAATCAGCAGTCATTCAGCATAACTCCATGTCCTACATCTGAGCAGAGCTGTGAAGCTGCAGGATTCAGGGGTTTCAGCAATAAATCAGAGCAGGGACACTTTCTAAGGTGTGGGCTGGGTCTGGGTGGGTTTATTTTCCCTACACACAGCCCTGAGTGGGGTGGGCAGCCTGAGCTGAGGCTCAGGGCAGGAACTGGCACAGTGTCCTTCTCCACACTACTGAGGGAAAAATGTCCTGCACCTCATTAGTTCCACAATCATCTGGATCTAAATATTCTGTTCCAGGGAATTAGTTTGTTCAGGCTCTGAATTCCAAAAGAATTCTGATACATAAAGAGGAAGGACTGCAGAAACCTGCCTGTCACTGCCTTGTTCCCCAGGACAGCTGCTGCAGGGCCAGGGTTCAGCTTTCCTTCTGTGGGCCCTGCAAACTCTTACCCTGGGCTGGATCTGCAGAGCAGAGATGGGACCTGCTCTCAGGTGCACAGACAGTGGTGGAGGGAGCAGCTCTTGTCTGATTGGGCTAAATCAGAGGTGGCAGGAGATAATCTTGCCAAATTCTCAACTACTGCAGCTTTTCAGCTCAAAGTGAGCCCTCGGGGAGGCTCCAGGAGCAGGGCCACAGCAGCTCCAGGAATTCAGTGCTCACTCTGCTCCAAGAGCTGGTGCTGGCACGTTAAAGTGTTCCATAACATGCAAACCTGCTCTGGAATGCGAGGGGATTGTGTGAGCAGACAAGTTACAGAAATGATCTGTCAGTCCATGGGCAGCAGCACAGGCAGTGCAGGGACCAGACACCAACGGTGCCTTTTGGATAGGTGTGCTGGACACACCTGCAGGAATTCCTTCACCTGGAACAATCATCACCCAGCTCTTACAAACCACACCTAACATGAGCACGCTTTTTTTTTGCTGAAGAACACAAGCAGTGCAGCCACATGAGCTTCAGCAGAACTTGTGAAAATACTGGAAACACACCATCAGTCCTAAAATATCAGCTTCTAACAAGCCTTGGAGCTATCTGACAGGTATTTTTGTGAATCAGGCTGGTCATAAGACTAAACCCAAATTAAACAGCACCGACCCCACGTCCCCTCAAACTCTGGGACGCTTTAAAACTTTACAGTTGAGTGTAAATTACCTCGTTGACGATGTAATCAAGAAGTTCAAAGATTGCCATGGGGGGTCTGCTGTCTGGTCCATAGGCTGAGAAGGAATTGGAGAAGTGGAGAAACACAGTTTTAGTCTCCTGCCATGCAAGGGGGGCTTCAGGAAGCCCAAGTCATGCACTGCTGTTACACAGCACCCAGCAGGTTTACAGGAAAAAGAGGTGCAACAGCAACTGGTTTCCCACAAGGAGATACTGGTTTAGGTCTGATCCAAAGCATAAACTCCCCTGGGAATTGTCCTGCTGCACCTGGACCAGCTCTGCATCTCGGAGAGGAACCGGAGCAGACTGGGTTCTGAGTAACTGGGCTGTCCACGAGCACCAGGACCAGAAGGATCTCTGCTCCTCAACTCTCTGACACCTCAGACGAGGCTGAACCAGGTGCCCAATCCAACCCTGTTTTTTTCAGTTTAAAGCCACCCTTTGTGCAGACCAAAAGCAGCCAAAAACCCCTCTGAGGTAGCAGGGCAGGGCCTCGGGG